CTAACTGACTGGTACCCCTCTACAAGTGGCGTGCCTCAAGGCACTGTGCTGGTGCCCACTCTGTTCCTGATCCACATCAACGATCTACTGCAGCTTCTCCGGTCGCCGTGTGCCTTGTTTGCGGACGACATGAATACTTGGAGTGAAATCGACGCTCCCGATGACTGTATTTATGAGCGTGGGGAAGGGTGCTAACGGTCGAACCTACACCCTTGACGATCAAACGCTATGTCTCACACCCTCCGTGAAAGACCTAGGTGTACCCTCACGCTACGATTTGAAGTCTGTGGACAACACGAACAGGCTATATCGTAACGGACTGCGCATGCTTTGGGCGCTCAAACGTAGCTTCGGCACATGGTCTGATGAGGTTACCACTCGCCTCTTCTCTTCTATCATTAGACCAATGTTAGAGTACAGTTCGCCCGCCTACTTTCCGATTATCCGAGGCGAAGCACAAAAGTTCGAACGGGTCCAACAAGTTGCTACCGTGCTCATCCGGAGTTTACCTGGCTTTGGTTATGAAGACTGGTGCGAGAAACGTGGACTACACCCTGTCCTACCGTCGGGTGCGAGTCGACCTCATTATGACCTACCGTATTCTACATCTCGTTGACTTCCCAATGCTAAGGCCAATGCTGCACTTATGAGGGCTATGCAGCACACGCGGACACAGATACCAACTTGTCGTGCCGGATGTGATATGTGTTCCCCACCAATTGTGCTTCGAAAAGAGAGTGGTAAACATTTAGAACAGTTTGCCTGAACACGTGATTGAGGTAACATCTGTGCAACAGTTCAAAACGTTGTTAGATTTGTATTTTGCTAATATTCGATTCAGAGAACGGCTGCACACTTACGATGACATATCACCTTTGTGAATCCTGAAATATCGTAAGTCAGCTATTTTAAATGTTACCTTAGAACGACAACGATATTCACGGCTGACAACTTTTATAAGGTTTTTCACCATATTTCGAAAGTGTTGTACAGAATTCGTTTCTACTTGCTCTATAATACAGTATTCAGTATTCACATCAGTTACAGGTTTGATAGATGTTAATGCAGTTTTTACTGTGTTACCCGAAACCAGCACTCTGGGCGTTTGCTTTGTGTCATTAAAGCAAACACTCAATCTGTTGTCTGAGCCAAAACTGTGTTTTGCAAAACCGTCGGTGTCCACCGAAGCAACTAATAGCCTCAAGATAACACAAGTCATCAAAGCAATCCAAGGTTTCTTCTTCACATATCCTGATGTTATCGAGCTATCCCAGCTGTGCTCCGGATTGGGTCGTCGCACAGCGGTTAGGGAATCTTCGGATGGTTTCAGAACCCCCAAGCCAATAGATTAATTTTGGACCTTCTGATCCGTATAAAGGAAGATATCCTGTGGCGCGACATGCTCATTGGAGTTGTTTGCTACGTCGGTAACAACTAAATGATTGGACAAACTTCTAAGGTAACCTAAACGCATAACCTCATTTCCGCTAATGTTCGAAGTCGGGGTAATGAGTGTTTCGATTTGTCTTCAGCGGAGTTACCGCTGTATGGTTTAAAGACCTCCAAACTGATGCGCAATAATGGGTTGGTAACGGAAGAATGTTGTTCCACATCGCTGAATGATGCTCTGTGACAATGGGTGGTGTCCGATGCCGCTACCTTTGTCACCCCTCAAGGTTACTTATCGCATTAAGTTCTGACTCCTGATGGTCACAGTTAGCTTCTAAGGCAGGAGCAATGTAAGACGATTCAACATGAGCCACCGATTCCAATTGATATGGATTTGTGGTGGACGCATACTTTATATCTAGCTCCAAGCGTACTTTAGCCATTTTAACATCGCGTTCCACCTCAATTTCCGACTGAAGTCCTGCCATCCTTAAGTCAAAAACAGCACATGGTAAACCCCAGCAAATCCTACTCCTTGTATTAGCACGCGAAGCAGAGCAAGAAAATTAGTCACTGACAGAAGAAAGACGATTGACTTGTCGGGGTTCTTCCTTTGCTCCGGCAATATTCTCGGATGATTTCTCACCCGCTGACGTGGTTCAATTAAGCAGGGGATGGTGTTCGGTTGGTGCGAAAATCTGAAGCCAGCCTGCCGATTACTTGATACTTACCTCCAAAGCAAGTTTTCACTGCAATCAATCGCTCAGCGACTTAGGGGTGCTCTTGCGACATGATATGAGCTCACTAGCAAATCCAATGCAATTGGGCTGTGCGGATCTTCGTTTGCTCTGAGCATTAGGATATAGTTTCTCCACATGGTCCGAAGAAACCTTCCCTGGCCTATTCATTAGATAATCCTTAAATACTGCACCCCAGCGTACCATCAGTTAAGCGACTTGGAAACGGAAAACCTAAAGAAAAAACAACATATCGCAACTAGAATGATTCACAGTCTACGAAAGCTTCTGTATAAAAGCGTTGTGAACTGCTCGGACTCTACACACTATACTACTGCCGAGTATGAATTGCCCTTATAATGACCCATCGAATACTACACTTGAACCCCTTTCCTTTCATGTAGCTAATATTTCACCTGCGGGAACCCTGTAACACTCAAGGACACCGTTACAAACTCTGCGTCCCATTCACGGAGAGCGTATGACATCAGCTTTCTATAGAAAGAAGAAGCCTAAATCTTAGTAAGACAATAACAGAATGATTAATATTTGCCGATCCTGTGAAGTGTTTCAAAACACGTATCGACGATGATTTGGAAACCTGTGCTTTTGTGAAACGGTGCACATAATGGGTAAAATATGCATCCTGTGTCCTGAAATAATAACAACAATAAGAATTCTTAACCGAACAAAGGATAAACGAGACCCACCAAACGTGGGTAGTAACACGAACCACGTATTTCACAGGATTTGCAAGACCACATCCAGAAGTGGTCTTAAGGAAGTGAGTAGATGACGCTAAATGGCACCACCATGTCACATCTCTTGGACCCCAGTAACGCTGGTACTAAAGTGATTTCCAAAATATCGGTAATTTTGGGAATTTCACGCTCTGCTACCAAGCACATCTCCCGACTAGCACTGAAGCTTTGAACGTCCACCACCTCAAATCGGAGCTGTGCCTTCAAAAACAATATGAACACATACTACATCTACTTTGGCCTGAAAATATTTCAGCGTTATCATTTATTGGCGCCCGAGTTAACTCCTGGTTTCTGGCGAAAATGATTTACCTCGATTATCTTTCTCTTTACCTAATCTATTATCTTCAGTAGGGCGTCATTTAGTGAGTCAACTGTTGCAGAATTTATGCTTACCAAAATCCTACTCCATATCGCTAATCATCAGTAATATTCACCCAGCATCTAACTCCTATCATGTAAGCATCTGACCTTGATGAATGTGTAAAACGAATTGATCTCATTTGGAACAGGTTTTGTATCTCTCTCACATTTGTGTTTCTCCTAGTAAGTTGTCAATTGACCAATCACCTAAAATTAACCTAAATTGTTCTATTACCCAGCTGGATCTACTTACAGACTTCGAATTCTGGGCATGTCAACGTAGTGATCGCTCTCTAGAAGCACAGTCTGTTTACCGTTCCATCGTGATTTCATACCTACATTATATTTACCTGAGCAATTTAAGCTACACATAGCGTTTGTGAGGTTGGATGTTACCTCAATGGGAGTCGATGGAAATTAGAAGTGTGCAATGCTTACCATTGAACAGTGTCCCTTCCTCATCATGTTACTGTACCCATCCAGTTAGTGCAATTGTGATTTGGCAAAAGAACGGTTTCTACGTGCTCACACGGTGCCGTATTCCTTTCATGTAAGTGCTAGCGCTGGGTCGCGGTTGGGTCTATCAGATTCACACTAGTTCGATATCGATGGATCCCTATTGTTACGTATTCATACAGAAGCATAAATTTTGCCTAGAAGCCGAAGTAACTGTTCCTACCAACTATGTAAACAACAAAAAAATTGTGAAATTTTACAAACTACCATGTTAAAATTGCCAAACAAAATATGATTTGAGCAAGTTAATAATTACTGACGAAACCCCTATTGTCCTGTGCGGATGGCTAGACATGCATTTCCGCGCATTTTTGGTCCGTCACACAAAAGTGATGAATGTTAGACGAACATAACCTGATATACCTATATAAAGGTATTAAAATGATCGAAATAGATGTGATATGCTCACGAACAGGACCCCCGGATGACAGATGGCGAAGATAAATCCAAAGCTTTGATGAACTGTTTAGAAAGGAAATCCTTGCATAGGTTGAGGCGATCGTGATTCGTCTCGACAAACCTCCGCTGTGTATAGACAGTTCGTCATTGTCTTGATTTTTACTGTAGTCAGCTATCAACCGGACTGTTAGCGCTTAAACAAATCACACACTAATTTTGGTCATTCGCACAACCTTGTAGTGCAGTCATAAAATATCCTATATTCTTAACCATCTGCTTAAATAGTATGATAATTGAATAGTCCAACATAATCATCACCGGTTCTTATTTCAACCTGTTACTTTACAATAAAATAATAAGCCTAATCACCACCGGAACAGATAGTCTGGCTGTTCTTGTGTGAAACATTTTCATCACATTTGTTCCATACAGTCAACCTTTTCAGAACAGATTTACGTACTCATTTCCGTGTTAGGACGCCTTCGAAGACTATTTCCACTGAGGGTGGAAGGCATTCGTGTTCAGCGAAATACCTTCTACACGTATTCTAAATCTACAATGATAACGTATTCTTAGTATGCAAATTTGCCGAAATTTGCCCGTTAGGAGGGGCGTAGTTACAAAGACTAGCCATTCAGGGCGCTCCAATGGTCACTACAGCTTAGTTCAAGTAGTCACTTGTGATAAGTAGGAGAAGGTCGTAATCGCAAAATATCAAAAATTGCACGAATATTTGTGAGAGCAACATTTATTTAATAAGGGTTTAGCGTATCTATAATAATCATTTCTATTTCCGCCACATAATTGTGCAAGGCGGTGAATGATGTGCGAATATCTAGCGCACCAAGGGGCACGAAGGATGAATCGCAGGACATGTCACCCGTTTCGGTTGCTTCACAACGCAGTACTCCGTGCTGCAGACTAGGGGGCCATTGCAAATTTCCACTTCCTCACAAACACCTGGCGCTATGAGAGTCTAGGAAAGAGTGATGGTGTTAGGTTTAGTTCGAAAGTTCAACTTACGATGATCTTGTAAGTCAACACTTTGCTGACATTGAAATCCTTGAGGACAGATAATATTTGCATATCTTTCTCATTCATGAACTTGTATTCCGTTTGCGAGTTAATGGCAATCTCGAGCTACACGAAAGAAAATGGATTGTAGGTAAATGGTAAAACAATGTTTGACGCATGCAAACTCACGTAAATTCTGATCTCGCTGACTGTGGAAAGTGCTTTCCTACATTCATCCGGTGCGCTAGGCCCGGCGCTAGTCCAGGAGCTAGGCCCGGCGCTAGGCCCGGCGCTAATCCCGGCGCCAGTCCCGGCGCCAGTCCCGGCACTAGACCCGGCTCTAGTCCAGGCGCTAGTCCCGGCAGTGGTTCGACGCGTTGTTGTGCGTGTGGTGGATTCAGTGGTTGCGATTGTTGTAGGGGTGGTTTCAGTGGGTTCAGTCTCAGTGGGAGCTGGTGTGGTGGTGGTGGTGGTGGTTGTCGATGTGGTGGTTGTAGTTGGGGCTGGAGTGGTTGTTGTAGTGGTAGTCGTGGTCGTAGTAGTCGGAGCTGGTGTGGTGGTGGTCGTTGTGGTGGTGGTGGTGGTGCTAGTGGTTGGAGCTGGGGTGGTGGTTGTAGTGGTTGTCGTGGTTGTAGAAGCCAGAGTGGTTGTGGTCCTCGCGGGGATTTGGCTTGTTGGCGCAATTGACTTCTGCGTCGCATCAGGGCATACACAGTTACAATTACAGCGACACTCCTTCCCGTCTTGTAGCATGTTCCATTGTGCGTGTACAATGTCATCATTCTGTTCATGGTTTACATCCGAATGAGCAACATGAAACGCATTCGTAAACACAGTGCACAGCACCGTCAGGACGATAGTCAACTGAACCCACATATCTGTAAGTAATTTGAAATGACAGAATTTTTAAAGTCTTGGTGGATGGGAATAGGGGAGAACGGTGGATGGAAAAAATACACTGTTAATAACTCCAGATTTGTTTGCTTTTGAGACCAGCAAACATTTCACGTTGTTACCCGAACGCTATGTGCAAACTTTGGTTTTACTTGATGAAATATTCTGCTGTGATCACATAATACAACAGTAAGTTTTTACAAATGAGGCAGCACTGTTGTTAGATAGCGTGGGTTAGATGTGTTTGGGTTGTGCATGAAACTTATGGTCATAACTACAATCTCCCAAGCAAAAGCTGTGGAACGTACCGTTGAAATCGTTGAATAACTGCTGTCGAACAACTTATTGAAGAATTCCGTACTACAACCGTGGTATTTATACGGTCTGTTAAGCATTTCAGGGTCATGAAATGTTGAGTAGATCCAGGCAATCTCAGTGTGGACAGACCACCATCACGCGACAAATGTGAGCACAAGGCAAAGAGGTATACTGGGATAGTTCGCAAGCAATCGTAGTATGATTTGACTGGTCCATAGACCATGTGGTTCATTAAGCTACTTTACATTTGAATAGAAGCAGCTGAGTATGAATCGCACAGAAACTTTCAGTTACTTCAATGCCCGGGTAGATTTATTAACATTATCTGCTACTACGTCTCTGAGATCCAAGGGACCACTGCTAATTCTGGCACGAGGCCAAACGGTTTAACGGACCGCTTTTGAACTGACATATTCAGATCACTGATATGAACGAGAGTTCGAATAAGTGTTACATTATACCTAATGATATTTGTCGAAAATCGGATTACTGTACATTGATGACTGGTCTCATACGCGAAGTTCGTGTCTGTTTACACTGGTCAGGAATGGGCAGTCACAGTGCGGATCGAACCCGGAACACAGGGTGCATTTCTTGATGCCCTTTAGCCCAGGCGACAGAACTTCCTTGGCAATGATGGTCTTACAGATTTGATACCCATTTCGGTTAGTTTTAAATAATCGATTATGTAAATGGGTTATCCTTGGTAACCTCGCTTGTGATTGCAGTTCGCGCTGAAGTATACCTTACTACACTCGAACGCTCGAACCATAAATTTAGCTAGGCATTATATGAGTACATACTGCAATCGGCAATTTGCATCACTTGGATCTACACCATAGTTAAGCTATATGTAGCAGAACACTAAATGGGAATAAAATATTGATTATAGTACATAAAACTATGATGGGCAATTTCTATTGGAATTTTATGTTTGTGCTTCATCTGTTCTCGGTGTATTAGTTACATTAGGAGCAGGGATAGTGGCGTTTTCTGGCTTTGACACAAAGCACGCTTGTAGAGGCATAATCAATACTGGGTAATCAATACTGGGTGACTTCTACCTCCCTGAAGTCTGCTGGGCTGATCCATCTTGCAGTTTGGCGGTGGGCACTCTCGGTTCGGATCTCATCGAGCTAACGTTGCAACTGCATTTGCAGCAGTTCGTGGACCTCCAGACTAGATATATGAGCAACCAACTTCCGTCTACTTTGGATCTCATTTTTGAGAAGTCACACGATTTCGTAAGTGATATTATATACGCTGTCCTCTAAGAGCCAGCGACCATAAATGCATATCCTTTCGATGTTCTCTAACTAAGTGTCATCACGCCACCGCTGAGGTATGTCCAAATATTTGGTGGACAGACTTTAACGCAATGCAAGACAAAGATTCAGTTCTGCGTTGCGTGATCACCGTGACTGACAGTGCTGAGATAGCTTAGGAGAAATTTAAGGCGTGTCTCACCTAGATTTCTGCTCCCCACATCCCACTCATTAAGAGGCGGGTGACAAGGACTCCTTGGATAGGTCATACAGGTAAATACCTGCTCAAGAAGCGCTCTACTCGTTGGCGAACTTACCAAGCGGCTTCATCAACCAGCACCTACGTAAGGTATCAAGTGGTTAGCAATAAATGTAAGCAACATCATAGGACTCTTCGTCTTCAATACGAGAAGGATTTGGCTGACTCAGCCGCAACAAACCCATAGAAGTACTTTGCTTAGGTCAACAGCCGAAGCGGTACAAAATGTCAGTACTGAATCCCGCGAAGCATTCTGTCCTCAAACAATGACAAGAATATATCGATAGTTCAACTATCCCTAGTCTGCGCCCCATCGAGTGAAGCGCTGTGCAGGTTGCGGTATGCAGACGCCGCAGTGTCTGCGTAGCGCATCCTGTGAGATCCGATTGCATCTCTGGACTGCCGTTAGAATTCCTCGGGGTTTTCTCAGGGCGCGCAATGTGCGGCAATTTACCGTGCTTCCATGGAAATCGGTAGACACATTCCAGCCAGACACTTGATAACTCACACGATTTGTACTACATATGGCGTGCAATTTCCTCCAAATAATGATCTATCATTTGTTGATTGACTTAAGTTAGACCCTTCTGCGTTAGTTATCCTTAATGTGGTGCATGGATGCGAAACAGTAACCAGCCAACTGCAGGCTGTAATTGCTCTTCCAAAGGAAAGAATCAAATTGGAACCGCAGTTGTATGCGCACGAAGAATGGGCACATAAGCAGTGTAGTTTTACTTAAATTCCGTTTACCTATAAGTGACGTGTAATATAAATAAATCTGATGAACTTGTCGAAAAACATTTCGCTTTACGCTTGCCAGCTATGCATCGTGCGGCAGATGCAGGACGGAGACATACTTGCCATTCTGTACCTCGTCTTTAACAATGAGAACCCACTAACTGACATAGTAAGAGGGAGTAGCCCCTTTGCGGCGCAGTGATCACGCAACAGTGCTTTTCCGCTACGTCCGTTACGCTGAGCAGTTCAACGAGGACAACAAGGGGGTCCGCATAGTAACACCTGACAACATCCGACCTCACCAACATCACTGCTTGGTCATTTCCAGCAGAAAATGCCCCGATATCGCTTGGGTACATTATGTCAATAGGTTTAGCACTCTAGTAACAAACGCATCAGCGATAAAAGTCCTTCGCTCAAAAAGATAAGGTTCTTCCTGACCTTGGGAGGTAGAGTTTAGTAAGCATACAAATCGCCGAAAATTAGAATGATTACATAACCGAGTGAAATCGTTGTGTCAAATTTGTCCGCAGACAAATTGTAGCAACAACAGGATTTGAGGGAACTCTTCTACTGTAATTCTAAGTTACTTTACGCGAGTGTTAACAAGCGCCGCAAACTACTGGGAGGTATCCCACCTCTAAACCTCGCTTGTGTGCAAGCAATGAGTGATATTTTAAACTATCAACTTGCTTTTACTTCCTAGGACGCACAGTCATCTTAGAACACACTCACACCACTCTATTCACTGCTAGCATTTACCCAGCTGTGGATATTCCTCAAAGTTTCTATCGTACACGCTCAAACCTGTCCTGCCTAAGCCAGGAGCAAAGGACCGGACGACCTTGTACATGCAGACAATTCAGCGCACACGCGACCGGCACGAAACCAGTAGAGTTTGGCCTCTCTGTGAATACCATCCATCGATGCAATGGATTGTGGCGAGCAAGCAAAACCTTACATTACCGCATCTAGCTCGACAGTAGTTTGTGGTCTTCCTTCATGCTATAAAAATGTACAGATCGGAATCCAGTGTAGCAGTGGCCAAGGTAGGTTCCATTGCAAATATGCCAAGCTCACAGTGAACCAGTTGAAGCCACGAAATAGTAAACCAGATTCACGGTGGTGTTGTTCTGTGTGTACGTCATCCCACTGATAAAGAGTGCAGATGAACTATCGCAGAAGTACGAAAGACTAGTGGCAATGTTTGAACAAATGAAGAGTACTAAAAACGATTCACTTATAGAATGCGTGACAGGGAGTAAATCCCAGTCATTCCCACCAGACCCTGCATTAAAAATGAAGAATAAGGCTGGGCAGCACGCAAAAAATGCATCGTATTTGGCTTTAAACTTCAGTGCTACCAGCTGCTCAAATATGCTTGAAACAACCAGCGCCAGTCCGATTGCAATGAATACGGTCAGGGCCTCGTTCACCCTGCAAACTGTTAGGAAAATGCAGAAGGATTTCGACACCAGTAGTGGTTGCAACTTGGTTGCTACCAAAAATGATCAAAAACCTGGACCATCGGTAAATCCCACTGGACCCATAGTAAATGGAGAAGACGAAGATGTACCAAAGCAGCCTCCATCGTCTGTATACAGACCAGCTGGTTGCTTGACTTCAACCAGTATTACACGTAGTATACCAGAGGTAATCTGCTCCAACGTTCCAGAATGGACGTCAAATTCCTTAAAAGAAATACAACTTGATGATGTGAACCAGTGGAAATTCCTATGTGATATTATAGGTGTGGTAACTAAGACTTTAAATTTGGCACCCGTTACCTGTCATCCAAACTCACAGCACTACGGTGAACCAAGCTTTCTCCGAGTTGTGCTGACTTTTGCCAAAGAAGCAGCAGCTTTTCTGTTATCGACAGCTAGTCTCCGAAATGGATCATGTTCCAAGCGCCTATTCCCGGATATTCCGTGGAGCAAGCGCAGACAGGCGAAGCGCTGTTGGGAGGAAAACCGGAAGGAATTCGTAGCCAGGGACATCGTGGTACACGTTGTTCCTGAGGCAGGAAGTCATGATGAGCGCGAAACGATTACTCACGACCAGGAGCAATGAAGGTACATTTGTGGGACCCTCTCTCTGGGAAACGTCATAGCATAATCAGTCTTAAGGATGCGCCAATCGACAAACTCCGAAGGATGTAGCCCGAGGATTGTGAAAGTGTTCCTTCCATCTAGACAAATGTCAGCAATCCTGCCGGTATGTGGGTCGCAGCAGACTTCCTTCCGAGCTCCGGATCAAAGCAGCATCTGCAAAGCAAACACACCAGCGCAGCCATTTAGTCAGATCACTTACCGACAAGAGTTCGAATAACTTCAATAAACTAACCAACGAAACTGGCAAACACAGTCCATACGTTACATACAAAGAGAAGTAAGGAGCTA